ATGTCATGCGTGGCGTGGTGCTGAAGGTGGAAGGCATTACCGGATCACTTCAGGAGTGCTGGGTTATCCCGGTCTCGGCGGCCGCGACCACAATGGCCCCTCCATTTGCCAAAGTGCATGTAAGATCGCCGGTTCCTGACTAACACCTTCCGCTTTCCCGATCGTGCCGCTGGCATCTCCTAGACTACGTTCACGCCCGGATACGAGATCGCCAGGTCGGACTGGTGAACAGGGTGATCCATTATGTCATTCCGAACACGCGACTCCAAATGCACCCTCATGATAGGCCCCAAGGTAAGCTGAATAGTGATTTATTTTGTCTGTTCATCGTTTTGATTTCAGCAACCAATTAGATCAGCGATTTGAAGACTGGGTGCTCCTTTTTTCCGCGGATGTCTCTGATGAGGGATCCACGGCGGATATTGAAACGTCAGGCGAATAAAAGTTTTGTCGCACCTTCTTCTTGACTCAAAAACCTGCAGGTTCCCATGAAGACCCGGCGGTGTCACTGATGGAACGTCATCCAGCCCACTGCTAACGACGTCGTTGGACGTCAACACTAGGAGAAGAAGAGGATGAAGGAGAAAGAATAGGAGAGGAGGCAAACTTTGCGTTTGGGCGAAAGAGAGATAAGCAACAAGACCTCCATTAGTGCAAAATATCTCAGTGAGTCCATCTGAGCAGCTGACTTGCATGGCTAAGTTTTCTGTGGGATATGGTTAGTTAAGTTGCACGTTAAGATGCACGACATGACGGATGACAGAATGGACGCATGCCTGCACACAATTTCAATTCTTGAGCAAATCAGGTTTTGATTAATGTAACCGGTTTTGGAGAGACAACCGAAATTGCCGTCTTCGCCACTGATGACCCGATTAAGTATCTTATGACTCTTCTCCTCGGAGTAATTGTCATTCTTAATTGGGGCCTGTTCAGTACAGCCTGGTAGGCGTCGGTCATCTCGGAGTTTTTTCCTTCTGTCAAATGAGATGGGCGGAATTAAATCTGGAGGAATCCTCCTCCCTCCCCCATCTCGCCTACTCAAACCGACTCCCTATCTTCTATTAAAAGACCAGACAGCGGACATAACAATAGAAACTCAGAGAGCGGGGGAAGTGGGAGATGCCCGGCTAAAAGACCTCTCTTTAGACCAAACCTGACCAATTGGGCGAGCAACGAGGAGGATAGAGCGGAGGGGTAGGATAAACGTGGCTGGCATAAATAATTCTCAAACACCCACACACACATAAACCAGAGCTTAGCAAGACGAAATTCCTATTGTTTTCAGGTGGAAGAGGTATCTCTCTTTTTTAACCTTTCCCTGTGTCTTACTCCCAGCACAGACGATTCCGGACAAAAAGGGGGAACCCTCCGAGCAAATTTTAAACTTGAATATTCGATTGGGTGCGTGCACTTGAGGGCG